GAACTGAATTCTGATAGTCAGTATTCGGAGGTGGTTTCTGCTGGTTCGCAATTCATAAAATTAAATAGAAATGGGAATGCATTATTAAAAAATTAAAATTATTTAAAAATTAAATGGAAACAGAAAGGGTGAACGCCATCTTACGAGACGGACGCATCTGGTTGTGCCCTTGAATTTTTGTGACTTTGTCTACTATTTTTAGCGATTTGATTACACTTGGCGTGTGTAAATGTTTTCATTACTTGTTGCAGGTTGGCCGGAAATATAATGTCGACTTTTTTTGCTTTAACCAAGACAAACAAAAAGATAAAACTTTTAAACCGTTACTGGAACCTTAACGAACTTAAGATTTACGAGTTGGTGATAAGTGTCAAAACCTACAAACAGTTCAGTTTATTTTTGACTTTATATCACTGTACTAACTTAATTACTGAAAGATTTTATTATATTTCTGAGACGAGTGACGATTCCGTTGATTTGAACGTTACGAAGACGGTGTATCGATCAGTTTTAAATTTGCGTTCCAAATCTTATTTATTCTATATTTTCAAGACCAATTTTCAGTTAATATCTTTTATTTATTTACGGTAAAGTATAGTCTAATGATTGTATTAAATAGTTGCAGCTTATGTGGACGACAATCTACATAACCACATTGCCAAATTTTGTACGCACTAGCTGCGTACTAGCAAATTATAAATTTATTTATAATTTGAAATAAACCTCCACCTCTAACCTTTGCCTCCAACAAAGAGAGCAGTAGGTTATATTATGTTTTTCTCATGTTAAATTCTTACCATTATAAGAAATGCGAACACTGACACATTAAATAATACATGTATGAGTAGATTGTCCTCTAAGAGTAAAATAAAATTATTCATAAATTACTTGCTGCAAGTGTCGTGGGACGCGGTGTACAATTCTGTTGATACAAACGATAAATATAATTATTTTTTTCAACGCTTTCATTTCATTTTACACTTGCTTTCCTCTTCAAAAAAGAAAATTAAGTATTCCACGAAAAAGCAATTCTTGGATAACTCTAGGGATTGGGACATGTAAAAACAAACGAATTTTTTCTTTCACTTCTAAGCATCATAACGTATCACAAGATTTCCGCCTCTGTTTTAAAAAATACAAATCATTGTTAAAAAAAATTCATAAGGCAGTCTAAAATCATGAAACATGATCAGGATATTTTGAACTCAAATAATAAAACAAAAGCAATGTGGAATATAGCATAACATTCGACCAAATCAACTAGAAACCTTGTAGAGAATGTTGTTTTAAATGATAACGATAGACATGTGAACGATTCGGCAACAGTGGCTAGTCTCTTTAACCACTTTCAATTATCACCATCAATTATCGAAAAGGATAATTGATGCCGATTTCACTAAGGGTTTTCAGCCACAAAATTCAACATTAGACGTTTCCAAAAAAATTTAGACACGTACGTTACCGAAACTTCTTCCAATGAAATTCTTAAAATAATCTGTAGACTAAAAAATAAATATTCGGCCGGTTTAGATGAATTCCGGATTGTTTGTTAAAGTTTTGTGCGCCCGCCATTATATACCCATTAACTCACATATTTAATGTATCCTTATGCACAGGAATTTTTCCATATATTTTTAAAACAGCTCAGATTAAACCACTTTTAAAAAAATGAAATTCAAAATTATCGGCCAATTTCTCTTATGTCGCGTTTTTTCAAAAATATTAGGGAGACATTTTTTACGTACGAATGGAAACATTTCTTAACAAACCCGACGCCTTTTCAGATTGCCAACATTGATTTCGAAAATCTAAATCTACGGAAATAGTCAAATTTTCTTTTCTTAAAGATGTCGCATCATCCATGGATCAAAAGAAAGTACCTATTGGAATAATTTTAGATATTTCAAAAGTTTTTGACGTTATTGATCATAACATTTTACTTTCAAAACTACCTTCGTATGAAATTCGTGGTATTGCTCTAGATTGGTTATGTTCGTTCCTTAAACGATCCCAGAGAGTAGAAATACCTTACTGTAATAATGAAACATTATGTACCCATCTTTCCGATTCTTTGCTAATTGCATGTGGAGTCCTACAGGGATCGATTTTAGGCCCTATTCTCTTCCTGTTATACGTAAACGATGTGCCCTCGACGATTAGAAACAGAAGAATAGCTCTCTTTGCGGATGATAAGAATATTCTTTGCCATAAAGAAACCATTAATAGTAAAATATCAGATATTTCATAATGGTTCCGTAATAACAAATTTATAGTAAATGAAAAGAAAAAATGTTACAATGCAGTTTTCCATTTCAAATAAACAGCTTTGTACTCCATGAAAATTAACGGTGTACCTTTGACTGATGTTAAGGTAATAAAATTTTTAGGTCTTTCAATTCAGTCAAACCTTAAATAGAACATCCATTTAAATGAATTGAGCACTAAATGAAGTTATTTATGCTACGCTTTCAGAATTCTTTCAAATTCAGTCAGCTTCCATTCTGCTTGTTGGGTATATTTCGCGAATGTTCATTTCCGCCTGAGATACGGCATACTATTCTGGGGAAATACATCTTATAGCTCCCAGACTTGTAGATTACAAAAAGAATTGTACGAATAGTAAGCAAATCCCACCCACGTTATCTTTGTAAGCCTCTCTTTATTAATCTAGATATATTACCATTACCTTGTATCTTCATATATGAATCAGTGTTTTTTTTTAAATGACTTACTTAAGGGCGGGAATATATTTTCAGCAAACGTTGATATCTATTACTATCACACTCGACGTAGTAATCATATTCATCAGGTGACAGTATCAATATCTCTTTACAAAAAACTCACACACAATACATGTACGTTGTTTTGCAACACCTTGCCAGATGACATTAAACGATTAAATTCGATACAAAAGTTTAAGGCCCAAGTAAAATCTTTTCTGCTGCACAACTGTTTCTATACAATTAGAGACTATACCGAGCATCCAAAAGAAAAGTAATATTAATTTTAACAACGACATTTAGTGTATTATTTACCGTATGGATTGTAAAATTCTAAACAACCTGTAACAAGTATTGTACTTCGGCTTGTGGGTCAATGTCTCCCATCTCGATCAGGTTTTCTTCTAGTTTTCCTGATCCTTGAGCAAATGCCAAGAAGGCTCCTTGTTTTGCTTCCGGGCATAAATGTACCCTCAAATTAACTTCTGCCCATAGCAAGTCACACACAGTTTTTAACTGCTTTTGACGTAAAGAAATAAATGTACAATGCGTGTGCGCTTCAGTACATTATGCGAACGACCCAACCTCAGGAGTTCGTCAAGGTCGGCTGCGAGAGTTCCTCTCTCTTTCCACCATTGCTCTTCTCCTACCCGAGCCCCCGGGATGAGGAATTTGAGTTACAGGGAAGCGTGCGAAGTAATGTGGACGTGCTCTATTTCCTTTTGCTCTTATTTTTTTAAATATTTTTTTTATCTTGTGTTTCACCAACTAAGTGATTCATTTTGTAAAAATAGTGTAGTTGGTGAGCATATCAAATAGAGTGTAGTATCAAAAAATTAGCGAAGAGGTACATTTTTCGTTGAACTTAAGTGCTTTTTACAGGCAAACTGAATCTTCGAATCTCTATGTGAATTAGAAACTCACATTCAACATGGATGACAAGATTTTGGTGAGAGGTGAAATGTATGAGTCGTGATGTCCTGGACGAAAAGAGAAGCCCTGTGTCACGAGCTATTACAGAAAGGGGAAAAAAGTCTCCAAGAAGAAAATAGAGCTCCATAGAGCAATATCGTATCGTATCGTATTGTTTTACGCCGCTTAAAAGCCCGCAAAGTTGAATACTTCATAAAGCCAATTATTTCGTATTTATCACTTACAAAGATTCCTGAATTATAGGGCGGCCCGTGCCGTAGTGGTCAGCCTGCTCCTTTTCCATCGCTAGTGCTCGGGTTCGGTCCCAGGCTGTGCTAAGTGGAATTTGTGATGGACAATGCGGATTCGCGGCAGGCTCTTCAGTTAATGGTTATTTCAACTTTGATTCAGCTATATCAAATGTCTTTTTAATGTTTCTTTTGATTCTAGCAACAAAAAAACATTTTAAGGACGTATTAAACAACAATTATTTTCCGAAATATGAAATTAATTTATTGATTATAAATTTGTATTTAATGTATTGTAAATGACTCTTCCTTTCGTAATTGCCTTTGGTACCATAAAATAAAAAGAAAGCCTTAAGAAATTGACGAAACCAAAAAGGAAATAAAGTCCTTTAATGGTGAATTCAAAAGTAAATTATATAATTCTTTTATACATGAACATTTATGGAGACAACGGTAATTTTTCTTTTAAAAAGGTTTGTTTGTTTGTTGTTGTTGTTGTTGTTTTTTCTCATTCTCTTGACTTGCTTTATTTTAGCACTTACTTTCATTTGGTGACGGGTCTTAGTTCTCATTGGTTTGTACTTTCAACAAATAGGATTATCATTCAGAGTTTGTAAATTTCTTTGAAATATCTTTTTAAAAAAATATTATGATTCGAAATTAACTTTCCGTATTTGTATTAAACATACATATTTTCAGATTAGTAAATAAGAATTAAAAAATAATTTGATTAAATATAGTTATTATTTTTATTGTTATTATAGTTATTATAGTTATTATAGTTATTATTGGTATTATTGGTATTATTGATATTATTGATATTATTGATATTATTGAATTATTGAATTATTGATATTATTGATATTATTGATATTATTGATATTATTGATATTATTGTTATTATTGTTATTATTGTTATTATTGTTATTATTGTTATTATTGTTATTATTGTTATTATTATTAATTTATATCAGCTTGTATCCCATGTGAAATTAAGAAGAACCTGCAGCACTTAAACCCCCTGCCCCAGTGTGCCCTGCCATTTGTATTCGCGGAGTGGCAAGGTGGGCGGAGTCGCCATGAGTGTGTGCGTGTGCGTTCGAGTGACATGTGTCCGCAGGGAGCCCGTGAGCCCTGCTGCTGTAACGCTGAGCCGGCCGGCCCACGACTTCCCGCTCGAGCTGCACTTCGACACCCCGGAGTTCTGGCCACCCCCTGTGTGAGTGTCCGCGCCCCTGCGCCCTCGCCCCGTGGCACGATGTCCAGCAACCGCGTCCCCAGATCCTTTGCGCTCCCACGCCCCCGGAGTCATCCCATCATCCGCCCCCAATCCCCCCTGCGCGTCGTTTGCAGTCCTCGTAATGTCAGTTACAGCTCAACTTTGTTTGGGTGATTTGAGTGATAACAAGCTACTCTTGTATGACACTGCAATAAATTAAATAATTTAACAAAAACGGTCATTGAAATAACTTAGTATAGTATACATGCAGTAAATCAGTTCGTACCAAGAATATATACTCATTGACTCCCCGTCCGTCACTGGCTCCGCACTCCTCACTCTCTCCGTGGCCCTCACTTGGTTCTCGCCCACTTGCCTCCGACACGCTCTAGCTCCCCGCCCGTCACTCGCTTCTTGCCTGCTTTGCTCTAACTTGCTCCCACCACTCACTCGGTCTCCCCATTCACTCGCTCCCCATCAGTCACCGGCACCCCGATATTCTCTCACTCCGCCACTCACTCGCTCCCCGTCACTCATTTGCTCCCCCACTACTCACTCGCTCCCCGCCGCCTAGCTCCCTCTCCATCATTCACTCGCATCCCACCACTCACTCACAGCCGCCAAACCCTCGCATCCCGCCACTCACTCACTCCCCGCTATAGTCTCGCCTCCCGCCTCTCCCTCGCTCCCCATCACGGCCTCGCTCCCCGCTCCTCACGCCCACCCGCCCGTTCCCCTCTCCCTCGTTCCCCGCCCATTCCGACTCCCTGACGCGAGCGCCGGCGCGCCTCCGTTGCAGGCGGACGCGCTCCCGGGAGCTGGCGGAGATCGAGACGGTGCTGTAGGAGCAGTGGGGCGGCGGACGGGACGCACCCCTCCGCGCCGCCCGCCCCGTCGTGCGCCGCCTGGGGGCTCCCGTGCCCCCGCCCACGCCTCCCCCGTTCTACGGCTCCGCCGCAGCCGTCGCCGCCGCCTACTCGCCGGCCCACACCATGGAGACGCGCATGTGACGCGCGCCCGGACTCAGCGCCGCCGAAGGCGCCGATGGCCGCTTGCACGTAAGTCGCCGCGCGTTGCTTTCAGCTAGGGGTGTGACGTCGATGTCCAGGTTTTCGTGTATTTAACATCGATTTTATTACGCCGGTGGTCTTTTAACATCGATGTTTTTACGTCGACGATACTTCTGAAATGAAAAAAAGTCCCTCATAAAAAAATTCTGTAATAATTTTCAGGTATCCAGACCAAAATTCAAAACCATAAATTCAGACCGAAGTTACCAAGGTTGAACAATAAATAAAATCTAGTTTTCGTCAATAAAGAAGACTTTATAAATTTTGAATTGTCAAATCAGAAAAGTGATGATTTTTTGTCTTTGTTTTGTTGGTTAAATCCCAATTAAAAATTAATAAACGATAAGGGTTTCAAATTAAATCCCCCCTCCCACGTGAATTTTAATTACTACTAATCCACTTTTATAAGCATCGATGTTTAATAACTATTGTTTTGGGTCGATGGTTTATTAACATGAATGTTTTAATGTTGAGCGTCGACGTTTCAAAACATCGATATTTCCTTGCATCCCTACTTTCGGCCGAGTTCCACTAAATATTTTGCCGACCTTCGGGAGCAGAAATTTTTGAGACGGACAGGTCTTATCAGACGGTTTGAAGGGTCGCGGATTCGATTAAGTATATTCACTGGGTCGTGGCGTGTCAGCTGCGTCAACGAGGTCGATACTCTGGGCATGTAGTGAATCCCTAGAGATGGCAATATTCCTCCGCGCTGGCCCTTGAGATCCCCCACCGACCTATACTTACTTATACTCGTCGGGTTGTGGAAATGTTCCCCCTCCAAGTATCATCAGGGACAAGCTGTAAGCTCCTGAGTGGTAACCTGATTTGAGGGTTGTGTAGTGCATGTAAGAGTAAGTGTGTGTATGCAAGGGGAGAGGAAGGGACAAGGACAATGAAGGGGAGATAGCCCACGGTACTTGGCCCGTGTTAGGCTGTTGTTCCGGCATTCCCCTGGTATTGGTAGGAGAAACGACTTATAAGTGCCGCTTGCCGCGAGAATTCTCCTCCAGACTTTAAATTTGACCCAACATTGTAGTTACTGTCGAAAACCCATCAGCAATAGTATTCGCTCGCTGGAGCATTTGTTGCTTGTGTGGTCTGGCATGGTGGGGCTTTCCAAACCATTCACCTTTTATTTCACCTTTTAACCCTCTTCCCTCTCTTCCTGGGGTTCGTTTAGATTGCTCGGGGAAAATCAATTTTGAAGAAAATCGCCCGAACTTTTTAGGCCCTGGCGTTTCACCACACAGACATTTTGCTGTCAATCGATTTTTCGATATAAAGAAATCTTTATTCAAGGAAGCCTCTCTTCATTGAGCTTAGAGTCTTACCATTGCTTTGTCTATATATTTAGGAATCTGTAATTGTTGTCAAAATTGACTTACTTAACATAAGGAAGATGTTTGTTTTTTTTTAACTGATATTTCTAATTGTAAAACACGCCATAGAAATCACGGTTATCAGCTGTCGGTATCAACAGCTCACTGTAAGAAATCCACAAACAATCCATCCACGTCCTCCACCTTTTAACCCACCGGAACAGTTAGAAATAATGCAAGAAAGTAACACCACTAGTTTATTTCTGAACTTTAGCAGAGTTCCTCTCAATACGTACATAAAATTTAAGAACAACTTTACATCTAAAATATATGTATTGTCTTGAAAATAAGAATCCACAACAATAAGTTACTTTCTTTTAAAATGCACTGTTGTAATGAACCGTTTCCAATCCTAAAATATATGAAGGTATTCTTATTCCCTCTACGTTGATGTTAGTCTCAGTGACTCTATGATACTGTACAATATTATTGTTTAAACAATTACATAATTTGATTGCAAATTAATATTTAAATCAATTTTGCAAAATAAAGGAGGGTAATGAAAACTGTAGGCCATTTGGGGGGTCTTGGGCCCCATGATTAAATTAGAAAAAAATACTTATTTTGGATATTAATTTTAATGAATTGGAAAATTGAATAAAATAATAATTATAAATATGTTTTTAATTTAATCTATATAATTTAAAACAATTTTTTTTATAATTATCATGTATAAAGAAGGCAGTACTCTACATTAAAATATATTGGAAACTGAGTCAGAAGGTTGAACATTAAATTAAAAAATGTACACATATTTTGATGAATGTGGAAAAAAAATATGATGTTTGATTACTACTGAATGCTGAGTGTTAAACAGACTCAATCCAGAAGTCTTTTCATCCCTCCGGTGTTTAAAACATATTAATAACAATCAAATTAATTACTATTTAATAAGATACAAATTTTGATTTTGTTTTCCCTTATTATAACTTATATTTTTTAATATTTTCCAGTTGTTGTTTTTTTTTTAATTTTGGGAAAAAAACAAAATAATACATCCAAATTTATTTCTTTATTTTATTCAAAAGAAATTGACGAAGTTTCAGAGACTGTTCCGTCTCCCACCTCAGGTGCTACAATTGAAAATGATGTTTACAAAATTAGTTTATGAATGAAGAGCCCAAAACTATTTTCAATATTTGTTAAAGGAAGGAAGAATATAAAACCTACACAACTATATATCTAACACTATACTCATTTGAAGATGAAAACTCACCTCTTATTTTAAACATAAAAACAATTTGAATATATACAAAATTTTAATACATAAATTGAATATAGTATTCTTATATAATATATATATTTTCAAATGAAGGAATCATTAAAGCAACATTTAATTGGTATTATTTGCATAATGAAAAAGCATTTCTCTTTGAGTTAACTCAAATTAATTATGCAAATTAAAAGTAGCTTTAATGATTCTTTCATTTGAAATAAAAAAGCTCTTCTTTTATTGATTTGATCATATCAATGACAAACAATTTTCAATGATATAATAATATAATAATTAACTTTGATTGTTAGAAAAAGTTAATTTTAATTCTATCAATTTATAATTATTTATTGATTGTGATCTATTAAATTTATAATTTTAAAAATATATAATTTAAATCTATAAATTATATAAATGATAAAATGTATAATTTAAATTTATAAATTATATAAATTATAAAAATAATATAATTTACTTTAACTCTGTGTTTCTCATTTTCCTCTTGTTTTTAGACTTGCATTAATATTGGACTTTGAAACATTGGATGTAGATTATGTGATTAGACCAAATATAAGACCAGACCTCTTTCCTGGAATATGGTGTCATTGGATTTACTTTACGAGATCTTTTGTCATAAGACCTAATGTATTTAGACCTACTGACTGTGGACCAATTATACAGCATGCCAGGAAAGTCTTTCTGAAGTGGCACCTTGGTGCTTGCAATATAGTACGTTGGTAGCAGTGTATAACAAAAGAAAATGTATATACCACACTGACCACAATCATAACAGATGCTAGAAGTGTTGTCCTCCTCTTGTTTCCCAGCTATCTATTTTCTACCAACATAAATGCAATTTTTAATAGGAGGCGCTAACTCAGCTCAATGAGAGAGACTTTCCTTGCACACTATATTTATTATAATATTTGTTATGTCTTTGTGATTGGTGGTCATAGAAATGGTAATTGTAATGATTTTCTGGTTCATATATATAAATAGTATTCGGTATTTTACTAATTTAATGTGTATATGTGCGTTTACAAAATGATAGTGATTCAATTAATCCAAAAATAAACATCACTCTTTTCCACTGATCATCAATTGCATATTTTGATTTACTTCAGGTATTCCTTGTGGACACTGCAGCTTAGCATCACTGGTGACAACGATGAGCCACTGAACCTTATACATTTCGTGCACATATCCGTGTGTGATTGCTCAATTTATGAACTGATCTGAGGATGTGTTGCAAATCCATTCCCCATATATCCAAGGACTTATTAGGGGCATTGTCTGTGGTAAAGTAGATATAATATATCGTATTTGTATAATGTAAACTGTATTATGAGTATGTTGTATGTATAAGAATGAGAATTTGAGAAATGTATAAACGACATGGAATTACGTATAAGAGATCTTGTCCGATTGAGAATAAAGTGGTTCTTATTAACTATTATGAATTCATTTATATTACAATTTTTTGTTGCTGTTATTAATGAACTCATTTCCAGCAAAAGACTCTAGCCAAAAACAAATAACCTATTTTTATGACATTTGGTGAAATGAAAATAGCATGATGTGAAAAATACTAGTACAATTAGCCAGTAAATATATGTAAATTTTAATGTGTTATATAACCACTTAAGTGCTCTTAGCTACATCTGTTATTTCGTAGTTGTTATAATGCTTGTATTTTTAATGTATGTCTATTTAATTTCTTGAATAAACTACTTTAGGTAGATAATAACGAATGATAAATTACTTCAATATAATTAAATACTACTTAAATGTAACATTTTAATTTTGCAAACTATTGCATCTTTGGTTACTAACTTAACTTTGTACCTCTTAATGTGTGCAAGTTTGTTTGTAAATAAAATGGTTTATCTATAAAATGTTACATTAATATTATTCTCTTTCTGAAAAGTCAATCAAAATCATTTTTAATTTAATGGTAATTTACATGGTAGTGAAAGTCAATCAATTAATGAACAAGCTAAGTTGGGACCACTTGGAGTTCACATCTGACCCTTCCTTCCCTATCCTCTTCCCACTCTTTCCTCAGGGTTGGGAGATAAGTTGATCTCCCTTGACTTACAAACTATTCCTGTACAATTGCAAGAATGCTGGTGTGAGATTAAACCATATGGAGCACATATGCTCCAGAGCAAGAAAATTATCCTATAAATAAAGTTATTTTCTGGCAGTTGGATGCGAGGCAAATGATGTGGTGAAAGAACCACATATTCTATCCAGTCTCCATCTTCATCTATCCTTCAAGATCCTGACACAGTAATTATAATTTCTCCATGTCCTAACACAGCTTGTCATCAGGCATATCCAAATGGGTGGATGCTTTCAATGATAACATGACAGACTAATGACTATTTAAACAAGTCATTACAGTATTAAATTTTCAGTAATTTAACACAAATTAATTATGCCTGAGCTACATCACATTGAGTGTTAAATGACAAATTTTGTACAATTATGTAGTAATTATACAATTGTTGAAACGTGGTAAGTAGGGCCTACAAGGAAATAAATGGATACACAAAGTAACCCTAAGGAATGTACATATAGTGCATTTTAATGTTCAACACCCTAATGCAAGAGTAATAGAACCCTTTAACACGTTTGCGTATCTTTCCACTGCTGATCTACAATGTACACCCAGACTGTTACATACGCTTACAGGGAAGATATACTGTCAGCGATACAAGTAATTACGGCAAATAATATATTTTGATTTATTTATATCTTCCCTGTAAGCCTATGTAACAGTCTGGGTGTACATTGTAGAGCAGCAGTATTCTTTTCCATCCTTATGAATATCAAGATATGAATTATCACTAATGGAAAAGAATATATAAAAATAATATTTATTCCTGCTCAGGTATGAATTATAAATTATAAAAATGGAATAGTACAAATTTGAAATATGCCATGTATCAAGGAAATAGTTTAAATAAAAGGAATTTCAAAGGCATCTCTTATTTTATGCTATTGTGATAAAAAAAAAATAGAAGCAGGTACAATAATTGTATTGTAAAGATTTCGTGTATGCTAAAAATGAAATGTAATAAGGAAGTTACAAATGGCATAAAGAAAGTGAAAACTACTTCTATATGTAATGGTGTCAAAACAAGAAGGAATAGAAGGTTATTGTAGAAACATACAACACCAAGGTGTATCTACAGTATGGGACTCATGGCCAGTGCCATGGGTGCCACTCAGAGAGGTGCTATTTAGAGTATACCCACTAAAACAAATAACAACAACCCTAATTTGAAATAATCTGACAGGGGCACAAATTCTATGCTTGCCCTGGGTGCCTGATTACCTAAATATGCCTCCATACAACACCCATAGTAGAGATTCTCTGAAAGAATTGCAGATAAACTTCATGGTCTCTTAAATTACAGGTTTTCATAATATAGGTTACTTAAATAAGTTAATAATATGTTTCAACATTAACTATGAATTTTGAAAATTAGTAAGAAGGTCCTCATTTTATAAGAAAATGAACTGATTTGAAATCTTTTCACTCAGATTCAGGCAGCTCTGAACTTCTGTATGGCCTATACTCACAAAGAAATATAAAGTGCCACATACCAATATTATTGTCTACTGACTTGAAACTATTATTTTTGAAATTTATTAGTTTTAAAAATGGAGTAGTACAATATGATCTCATATTTTTGGAAAGTTAAGTGTAAGAATACAGAAAGCACCATTTTATTTATTAATCTAATTTTATTGAATTGAACTGTTTTCAATTGAATCTCTAAATTTACATGTTCTTTTTCTACCCATAATTAAAAAGCAACAACTGCTCAGAACTTCAACATTTTATATGAAAGAAACTCTTTGCAAAGATAAGAAATCTCAAAAAATGCTGTTTACATATACACTGTAGCACACTGATGAGGAGGGGGGCTCATAGAGCTTCAATTTCCCTCACTCCGAAGCCAAAGACACAAATGCTTAATAATACATTTTACCAAATGTTACAAAATTTTATCAATAAAAACAATAATCAATCAATATCAAAATCAATAATCAATCACTAGCATACATTAAAATAACTGTAAATTTTCGACTGAAAATTTACTTTAATTTCAATGTTAATTCAAAATTCTTTACAAGAAAATCATAAGTAAGATGGATCTGTAGCCCTCTTCCTGTAGTTCTTTCAATGTTTTGATCTGGTTAGGTTAAATCCTGTAGTCAAATGAAATAAATAAATAATTGCATGAATGATCCAATTTATCAATACATAAAGACAAACATGAACCTCAGGACCACTGGGTAAGAGTCACACCTCTCCTTCAACTGCACAATGACTAATGAAAAGAAGAAGTGAAGAACGAGAACCCAAAGAATATGAAGTGGGCCATCATAACTAGGTAGATCATCGGACCAGGCATTATATCAACCAGTTCTAAGGAAAACAAATAGTTGTACACCTAACATACATCAATGTTTGAGAAATCGTAAATTACTCATTGATTTTGCTGAAGATATTCTTCGAATCTAAAAAGTAATGGAAAATATTGAATAGATGGCATTACATAATATATTTTGTCAATTTCTTGAAAGTGGCAAAGTGCCTCTTGGGTAATTAAAAAATAGTGGTGTTACAACAGCATATACTTTCTCGCGATATTGTTAATGGTTATGTTATAAGACAATTTCTAACATAATCTTCAAATAACATCAAAAAAATTCTTAAACAAATGAAGCGTGGAAAATACCTATATTTTTTTAAAGATTCAAACGTTTAAACAGCTTTCTGCTATTGAATTTAGAGGATTCACGTTCTAAATAAATGTACCAACGATGCGGGATGCGTATTTTACCGTAAATAAAATTATTAGTTTATATTAACGCGAACCAACGGCGGCCTGTTATAAGTATGGCGTTGCAACGGTGAATTGAAACAAGCAACAATGGCCGCTGATGGCCGTAAGGCACACATATTTTGCAAATCGGCATTCTTGATACCGTAGAAAATGCATCAGCACAGAGAATACAAATTCATTCTTCCCAACACGGACAAAAATATGGATTATCAAATAGGTTTTAAATAATTTCTAGAAGATTCATTTGTAAACGTATAACAACAGCTCAAATGTAAGAAACGAACAAAGAAATATGAAGTATTATACAAATTCTAACTTGCATAGCATCCAATTGCCTCCAAATACCTCTTAAATTTCGTTCACAAAGCGCGGGAAATTCGAAGTGAGTGTCCATATTTGACGCAAAATTACAGAAATAATTTATATTGTCGAAAAATTGAACATGACCATATTTGAAAATCTGTTTTGATAAACACATTCCTTTCAGAAAAAAATATCTTCATAATTGTAGTTGTAGGAAGACGCCGAAATGTTTTTAAATGTTTGCAATTTTCAAAAAAATAGAATTTTCAATGAACATGAGACCTACGCCATTCTCTTAAATATCTTATATGTTATCCGAGGTAAAAATTTAATTAAAAAAATGGTGCCGTATTTGAGAAAAAAATAGTTTAGACAAAATTAAAAATTGTCTGCGCAAAAGTATTCATATTTTCGAAAAATTATATATGATCTTATTTCAAAATCTGTCATCCTTAAGAAGATTTCATTTAGGGGGAAAACGTCCACACTTAATATTTTAGTTGCAGAAAGACTCTGAAAAAAATTGAACTATTGCAATTTTCAAAAAAATCAGGGTTTTAACGAACACGAGACCTGCACATTTCTGTTAAGCGTCTATTACGCTCTCCGACAAAAAAATTTAATTAACACATTTGGTTCCATTTTTTTTATTTTGAAAATGTCCCAGGGGCTTCAAGTAGAGTATCCCCCAAAATGAAAATATTGGTTTGAAATTCAAGGGGTCGCCACTCAGCCCGACGATTGAGGAATATCAATTTTTGAGAAAATCGGCTGAACCGTTTAGCATTGTTCACAGACGGTTAGGCGTCAATCGATTTTTCGGTATCAAGGTTCCACAAAACAGATTCTGACCACATTAATTTATATTTCATATTTAATTCAATCAATCACTGTATTGATTCACTATTTTATTACCAGGGCCCGGCAATTAGAATTTTTCTGTCGAAAATGAGCCGTTTTTTCCCATAGCCATACATAATCTCTTCCCACTGCATAAGCAGTAGCGAGAAAGTAAAATCGAGTAGCTAAAGAACTATTATAATTAATTCAACGTAAAAAGAAAGTGTGTAATATCAATAAATAGCCTAAGTAAATTGAATGATAATTTTAAAAATTAAATTGTTCAAAACCTTTCTTTTTTTGTTTGAATTTTCACAAGGGGAAAATATGGTGTTAATAGTTTAATTGAATAATGAGTTAATTATTTTAATATATTGATATTGATTTAATAATATTTATGCATATAAACATAATTGCTTAGACTATTTTTCCAGAAATAGAACTAGAACTTTTTCCATCAACATTTTTGAACTACAAAAATCTGTAATTCTAATATCTATCTTTTAAATTCTACATAATGGTTTGAGTCAAAAGAAACAGTTTAATAGATTCTACTTTACAAAGAAACAAATTTAAAATATTAAAGGCCTATAATATCTACTTATTCATATTATTGTAATAATATGAAATTAATTGTTGTATTAAGAACTTAATCTACCACCCACTGGATTCTGAAAAAGCGATTTTTCAAATTTATTGCAGAATGAATTTTATTTTATTATTTTGTTTAGCAACCAGTAAGATGTAAATTACATTATTAATATAGTAATTAATTTGTTATAATACATTAACAAACATTGATGGATTGGTTTTAAGTTAAAGCTTAATAATTTAATTATTAATATATTTCTTAATTGTATTTGAGTTGAAAAGTGTCTTTAATAAAATATGTATTGTGTAATATGCAAATACTTTCAGATTCATGTAAAATCCACAAATTTCTGTATAGCACATACTCAACACAAAAAAAACAACAACAAAACAACTTGTCTCTAACAAAGGACAGCTATAAATAATTGCTATAAAGAGCCCCATTACCTTCAGGAGCCAATGGCCACATAAAATCTAAACCCGGTTCTGATCTTCATGTGTTAGTACAAAGAATATGAAATAATAAATATATAATAATTTAGGTTTCTCACGAACGAGGCTGAATTATCTTTTCAGTTGTGGTGTTTGTTGAGTGATACAAACTGTCTGCACATGAAGTCCAATCAAAGTAAAGCGTCTTTCATAAATGACTTTTATTACCCTTGAATTCATTTACCGCCCCAGTTACTGTTGTGGTACTGTTTCTGTGTGTGTGTGAGTGTGTGTGTGTTTTTGCTGTTGTTGTTGAAAATTGAGAATAACAACTATAAGAATAACCCCAAAGTAGTTTTGGTAACATTGTGCTCAATGTTTGAGGTATTCATTGGTTTAATTACTTAATAGATACTTTTCATAGAAAATGACAGGAAAATTTAATTAATGGCAATGTTAAACAGTTCATTACAACTAAAATCAGATGACATTTTTGATGTATAAAATATTTTTGGGAATTGCTTTAATGCTTGTGTCTAGAGCCCACTTCTTAATTATATGACAAAGGAGTGCAATTTCTAGATACAAATATCTGAATACAAGAATTTAAAGCTATTTTAAGTAAGAGTTAGGGAATAAATATCATTGATGCTCTTTAAGTTCATTAACTCATTACATTTCAAAAGTATGTAAATTTATTCTGGCAGTTCACTGTTGCCATAAGACATGGTACTTCTATTACATATTTTATAAAACATTATTTCTGCTGACACATTGATTTGTTTTCAATCATTATTCCGAATCTTAACGCCATTTAAAACAAATATACAGAATATTTAATGCTATACCTTGCAAACCGTATTCATTAATGTAATTGTTATAAATGGAACTGTAATAGCGTTAACATAAAATTCCCGCGTCAAAGTACCGCAGATAGTGAAATTGATGTTTCTCTTTCTATCGCGCTCAGATACAATGTATATTCAAAAGGCGAGTACCAAATCATATTTTGCGGGACTGATCTCTCAATGAATTGTTGATGGGTGATCAAATTATATGTTTATCATCAAATGGTAGGCCCTCATATGGTTTGCTGTCCCGAACTGCTGAAACATCCCAACAGGACAGAAAAATATTTTCTCATCATTAACGTCATCCTTTATTTGTTTATGAGGAAAAAATTGATTTTCTATCTTGTTGTGAAGCTTAAACGCCTCAGAACATCGAACTACATTATAGAATACGTATTTAGATTTTTCTTTCTAGTTCTTACGGGCAGAATACGACAGATTCTTTGATGTCAGCGCTAGTGAGTGGGTGGGAGTTGTGGGAGTCACGGAAGAAAAGTGAACATAGCGTCGGCGTCGTTAATGTAGTGCAGTGAACAAGGCCGGCATATTTTGACGAGAATTTCATATTTTAAGCGAGTTTTCGAGCAAAAGGTAAGAGCAGAGTTGAATGGTGTTCTTAATAATTACGTAGTCACTATCGTGTCAGTAATGGGCTTGTCAATCAAAATATAATACGTAAAGAACCCGGCGTTTCTGAAGTACATAGTATATTGCCCATGTGGGTACCTAATGAAGGTAGTAAACAGTGATCGACAACATTTATTGCCACTTTAATCCCTGAAGCTTGACATACTGAAAGCTTATAAATACGTATTAGAAATGCCACATAAGTAAAAAACACATTTACAAGATTTGTTAATAACAATTTCTCCTTACATTCTAAATTTTAGAATACTTAAATTAAAAACGACGAAGTAATTTAAATTGGAAACATTATAATGGCAATTCAATGATTAATCATCGATTTTTTTCTCTTATCTGTTGTTTAATGTAATCTTGAATTATTGTTGTTCAGTACAATTGCTGAAGATTACACAAAACAATGCCCTAGATGGATTAATTTTCTTTGAAGTTGTGGAAGAGAGTGAATTAAAATGTAAATTGCCATAGATCAGATTAATATTAAACCTGTCCAGTCAATGTTCTTCAAATTTATGTAAAATAAAATAGTATATTGTGATCTATATTTATGATATTATTCTTATGTTGTCAAAGTGATACCAGTTATGAGCTTAACACAATTTTAAAAAAAAGAAATTAATATTACTTTTAATCATCAACCTATTTCATTTTCTTATTATTCATTGTGTTACATTCCAAGAGAAGATTCCTAGCAAATCACAGGATTTTGAAAGCATAATATCATCTTTATTTGCATGCCCAATATGATTTTGTATTAGTTTTTATTATTATTATTTGGAGAGTACTTTTCACCCAGTGATCTTCATATTATATACTTTCTTCTTACTCTGAAACTTGATGAGTTTTGAGTGTTGTTGATGTGATTATAATTGATAGTGAAATTTTTTAATGAGTTAGAATATGGAAAAGTGTAAACCCTACTTAATGATGCATGTTCAATAAAGTCTTGGTAATAAAAAGTCTTGTTTAGTTCTTCGGTAATGAGCACAGGAGTATCAACAGAAACGATTTATCATGGCACTCAGTTAATTTACTAAAGCACTTTTTGACCTTGGCCATAGATTTGTTTGTTGAAATCTCTGTGAGATCCTCATGAAACGTCTAAAAACCAATTCTGTTATTTTATATAGACAAAAACTTGGATTTTCGTTATTAATATCATCTCCATTACCATCAGGATTTTCCACAAATGATGGTTAATCTTAATGCTCTCCAACAGTTATATCTAGGACTATCCATTAAATATGTATGCATTATAATATATATTACATATTATAATGCATAGTATAATATTAAATATGTAGCTCAGTTGTAGGTGGACATAAGTGAAAGGCTGCCTGATTGACTCAAAAATATCATTACCCACAACAAAATTTGACATTGCAATCTTTCAGACTGTAAAATGTTTTAAATTAATCAATCAGCAGACAACTGAGGAATTGATTCTGACTTCAGGAGCCTTCACCTTGGAGGAAGAAACAATATCTGAACCCAAAATGCCAGAACTCACGGAGCTGGACAAGGCCTCCACCTCGCTGACTGCAGAAGCAGCAGGAGGTTCTGCTGCTGGGCCTGGTTCTGCTCCAGGATCTGGCACGGAGTCTGACAGCGATGACACCATCCCAGAGTTGGAGGAAACTGGTGCTGGCGCTGGACCTGCTGGTGTTTTGGGTGGTGCCGCAGCTGCAGCTGGTTTGCCTGTGGATATGGTGTCCAAAGCAAAACAAAGCCGTGGTGAAAAGAAAGCTCGTAAAATAATGTCCAAATTAGGTCTTAAACCAGTAAGTATTTTAAGAATTTGAATGTTCTCTTGACTTATCTACTTACATTATCCTATCACACAGTTTGTAGTTTAATTTAAAGAATTTGTGGTAGATTTGTTTAACATTTTGGTAATGTGTTGATCATTTGTAGAAAGTTTCTGTAGAGGTATTGTGAGCTTCAAAGAATAGTGTTAGAACTAAGTATATTAAATTAGAAACAAATCAGAATTGTTTACACACACTCAAATGACAAAATTTTTAAATCAAGTTTTATGATATGTGTGAAGTGAGAGAAATTGAATAGAAAATTCAGAATTGAAGTAAAATTGAACTTGATATCTATTGATGTGATTTTTTTTTTGTAATAAAGTTAATGATATATTTGAAAAAATTGTTCTAAAACTTATTAGAATCATAAATTGAAGATTTTACTTTTAGAAAAGAAATGTGCACATTATCAGTTTGTTGATAAATTGAATTATGACTCTATCATAATGAATTGAAATTTTTGTCTTCATACTTGAGTGTAAGAGGTTAATTCATGAATTAACAAAATAGTTGAAAAGTCTATTGAGACTGACAAGTTGTTCGGGAATTATGCCTATAGTTACAAATCAAAATATATTTTGCCAAATATAATGAAATTAAATAATGAAACTGACATGAAAGGATCGAAAATCATTAATTTATTTATTTGCTGAGAACCATACTTTGGTATTTGTGAAAAATAACCAACATTGAACTGTAAATGTTTCAAGTACTGTTGGATCCAGAGACTGTAGTGTCTTGATTATAATTGAGTGTATGATTTTCCGCAAGTCTGGAAAAAAAGATGTCACTTCAATTTTTACTTTCTCACTTACATAATAAGATGATAAAGTACTGTACTGTGTGTATCGGAAAATGGGAATTTTTCAACAGAAAAACTCATAGTTGCAGGACCCTGGAAATGAAAGTGGATAAATCTTGTTCCAATTTGTTGTAAATTACTACCTCTAACACATTGTGTAGTTAGAATCCATGTTTTGTGGATCTTTGATACAGAAAAATAGATTAAGGGCATAACGTCCATCCAAATTCATATTTTGTAAATCCCTTAACCTGTGGAGCACTATAGAAATGGCACATGTCTCGTTTTTGTTAAAGTCCCTGATTTTTTGAAAATTCCAAAAGTTCAAAGTGTTTTCCAGTCTTTCCATAACTACAATTTCGAAGAGATACTTTTTTTTCTTTTCCCTACTGAAATCTGTGCTACAAAGAGATCTTTCAAGAAGGTCACATATAATTTTTCAAAGCTATAAGTAGTTATCATGTAATTTCGGCAATGTGTAAACAAGTATTTCTTGAAATGACTCAAAGTTTTTGCTTTAAATTTTCTCCTAATACGTCTTGAAGGACGGTAAAACGTAGGTGTAGCTAATTCTATTTCCCACAAACATATTAAATTTTCAAAAATTGCAAAAAGTTAACTTTGCAAAACTTCTATATTGATAATAGAGATTTTTGTCTTGAATAAAATCTATTTTAAGAAATCAGATCTTTTAAAGAAGGACATCTACAATTATTTGAAAAAAGAAGAATTTTTTCTACAGATAGAACAAGGGATGCACATGTCTCAGTCCGTTAAATGCTTTGCACTTTTGAAAATTGCAAAAGTTATAAATAATGCCAAAAAGTATGTGTTTTAGCGCTTCTAGCTAAATTTGGTGATAAAACTTCACTGTCAAGTGGAATTTTACTGACTGGCGTTAGCTTAGAACCAGCATTGCTGCTCTCTGCACGGCGGCTCTCGCTGGGTGGTCATAGGATTTGAGTTCCAAAGGTGGCATATTTTCAACTTTAAAAAAAATAGCTAAGTCGAATTCAGTCACTGTCTGGATTAGAATTCTAGTAGCTGGCTGCTGCTTGATTTCTCTGATCAATACTAGGTGAAGTAGTATCCTAGAAATGGTCCCTATACCTTACATGATCTGTTCTTTTTTCTTGTCCTATATTCTACATATGCACACTTACAAGATTTACACTACCACACATGTTAGGGGTTTAGAGCTTGTCACCACTGGAGAGATACCTGTAAGTCGATGATGGATCTCATTATCCAGCGGGGGAGGATCACTGCCTCTACCAGGCATGAGACTAATGACCATAGCAGCTCATGTGTTGCGCAGCAATTGCATTGAATTTTATGGGCTCATATTAACTTCAATGACTTTAGTGCATAACTGGGCAAAAGTAGATCTATTGAATTATTCTATGTTTGGCAGTGACCACAAAAGACTTCATTAAAAAGATGCCTAAAGGCCCAATGATGACATTAGCTAGAAAACGATCTGTGATGTCATCTGTCTTGACAGTCGAAATCCAGATCTTAATATTGTTAGTTCCTTCATGAATTTCTCTTTTCTCTACATGACAGGAAAATTGAATCACTTACCGTGGTTTCTTTGGTGAACATTTTCTAAAAATTGTCTTCACCTTTTAGTTAAGATGTTTTATTCCCTTTGCAGTCTTAGTGGTACATACTTTTTTAAATAAACGAATGTGCTCGACCCGAGCGGATTTTTAACCACAGTGAGTGTGGATGACCGAGGCTGGCTAGCCCTGCGGATTAAAGCAATTAGAGGTAGTGGGCGACAGTGCGGCGATATATATGTTTATATATGAGCTAAAATAGATACAAGAGATGCATGGAAAATGGAAACAGTTGGATGGAAATGGAAAATGGATGAAGTATCCCCAATGGGTGGATATAAATTGATATTTGATTTTACTATACTAGATAAAGTACCAAATTGTACTGCTACCCAAACTATAATTTTTTTTTCTGGCATAATTTAATTATTAGACATGATTCTCAATTAAATTAAAACAATAATTATTGTACAAATTTGTGCAAGTTAATTGATGTGCCAACCCTAAATTCTATTATGGATTGCAAACAAAAATAAAGTTTATTTATAAAGTTCAATAATTATTATTTTATTTGTGCACACGGACGCAGAAAACTGATAAAGCTGCAATCAATGTATATTTTACAAAGTTTTAATTAGTTTACAGTGTAATAACTTGCAATGTAATATCACATATAGACGTGTGAGTAAAGTCTTTTAAATTGATATATAGTGCTGGCCGAGACGATCTCTTAAGAATGTTATTCCAGTAATTAACTATGGAGATTGTGGAGATGTTTTTGTATGGAACTGATATTGCTGGCAGAGGAATATTTTTTTCTCACCTTATTCCTATTGGTGATAATGGGATAATGGTACAAGCATTTTAACAGGAAGAAAAAAAAAGAATTCTGTTCTTGTTGGCTTATATGGGAAAATATTTCACTCATACCATTTATGAGGATACTTACTATTAACATAAACAAATTAAATTTTGAAAATATCCAATGAATGCAAAAATAGGCAGAAAAAGAGAGAGAGCAAGAAAAAAGACAAAATAGAATATCGTTATGGGAAACTCAAGGATGTAATTTTAAGATTCATTTTAATTTCAATACCAATTGTCATGTTTCATTGGATCAACATAGGTCAATATTCATTATTTTTCAGGTACAGGGAGTAAGCAGAGTCACCATTCGCAAATCCAAGAATATACTCTTTGTTATTAACAAACCTGATGTATACAAGAATCCAGCATCAGATACATACATTGTATTTGGTGAAGCCAAGGTAATTTTTTCTCAAAAGCAGTCTTCTTTAAAATTTCATTAGCAAGTATTAGTAGTCTGTATGTGTAGTGTCACTTACTGTGGTCACTAAATAGCACTTAATACTTTAATTTTAGCTTAGTGTAACGTATTCAGGCAAGCAGTGTTCAGAGGACACCGGCTGTTTTTTTGGCAAGAAACAACAGTCTAGCCTGGAATTCAAATACAAACACCTTGAACTCCTACAACTATTCGAAGAATGTTATTAATTTGCATATCAGACTGTTGGAGGTAGTACACCTGTTTAAAGATGATACATAGTTACACCAATTATTACAAAAGTATCTGTCAGACACTGCTTGTCCAAATGTTACAAAAACACCTTGCTCTGATAAGAATTCATAGAATAAGAGAATCAGAATGGAATTAAGAGTTAAGAATAACTAAATTAATGTCTTGGCACAAATTCATTAACAAAATAACTTCATGTTTAATCTGAGATTTTTATTTATTGTTATAAGCTTATCTCTAGTATTTTCAAACAACATTTTCAAATTTAGTAGTATATCTTTTCTCTTTCCAATCAATTTTGGATGTAACCACTTCTTTATAGTCGATTAAGGAATAAAAAATATATAAATGCCTTATAATTTAATAAATTATGTCAAAGTAAATAGAATATTGTAATTTGTTTTTCAGAATTCCTTTGAGGAGAAGGAATGTGGAAATGAAATTACTATTGTCAAATATGAAACAAAAAAATTTAATCAAAAAATAATATTGAACAATATTTATTATTCCTGATCTACAATGCTTTTGCTCTGTTTGTCTAGCCACATAATTTTTCTGATTTCTATTCCTAAGTAAGTTAATTAATTAATATTGTGTCATAGCAGGGCACTAAACATTCCCAAAAAGTCATGCTGATCCATACAATCACTAGCACAGTTTTATGTAACTGTCTTTATGCCTTACCTGGCCAATGCGAATTTTTGTTTTCCTGTGTAGCTTTTGCACCTGAAAAGGACTTATCGAGATTTAGATAGAAATTCAAATGAAGTGATGGAGTCTTAATTTCCAAGTTCATTTCATTACACGTGTATTTGAAATCCAGTAACACAAGAGAGATTAAACTTGGAATAACTCCAATGAAAATAGAAATGAAATAAACAAAAAGATGGTAATTTTTAAGAGTATATTTTTCATTTGTTAAATTTTGGCAGATTTTAAAAGAACGGCATTCAATGTGACTACTTCCTGAAACACTTGATTTTCTATAATTTGTTCCTAAGCAAATAAATTCATAGAAATAGAAAAACTCAGGAAACTCCTGACAACGAAGGAAAAGGAATTGTTATCATTCATGGATATTACAATTCTGGACCATTAGCCTTCATGTAATCTTTCCTGGCCCTAGGATCCTGTCAGTACTTAGCAATGTTAAAATGTTTTATAAATCCAGTCTAAACAATTGAATGTTATTTGTTGAATATGCAGTCATTCAGTTTAAACATTTTTTCACCAGCCTGTTGGAAGAACATCCCCTAAACAGTAAGGTAGTTCAAACATTTTTCAATATGTAAGTGATACTTGATAAGTTTAACTAAATTTGGCAATGCTTGTCCTTTTGTCTGTTAAACCGTATGCTTCCATGGCCAGAATCAATTGATTCTTGGCTATTCATGAGATGCTGAGTCCTAAGCACAGTTACCAACATTTTAGCTGTCATACTGCTGCCTTCCTCAGGGTGAAATGCAATTGTGTCCTGAGGAAGATCACAGTATGACAACCAAAATGCTGGCAACTGTGCCTCGGACGCAGCATCCCCCAGACAGCCAGGGACTTTTTTTTTCTCCAGTTGTTTGACTCCTTTTTTTTGTGTCTTTCCTATAGATCGAAGATCTCAGCCAGCAAGCTCAAGTGGCTGCTGCAGAGAAATTTAAAGCCCCAGAAGTTTCTCCGGCAGCTGAACAGAGTGGAGGTGCTGCAGTTGTGGCTCCCATTCAAGAAGAGTCTGAAGAAGAGGAGGTGGATGATTCTGGAGTGGAGGAGAAAGATGTGGAGTTGGTGATGTCACAAGCCAATGTGTCCCGAGCCAAAGCTATTAAAGCTCTTAAGAATAACCAGAATGATATTGTTAATGCCATAATGGTGAGTTTTGAAAATTGCTTAGCTTCAAGGTTTTCTTTTAGAAATCTTAACTTACCCTTTACACATCAAATAGAAAAGCGAGTTTATGTAATGAGTATGGTATGATACGATATGGAATTTGGCATCGGCAAAGCCAGATTTTGTGCTGAGTGTGTGTGTAGGTGGTGTGTATAGGAGGAGCAAAATATTTTAAAATCGAAACCAGTATGCTCTCAGTCAGTATTGTAATTTGATCTTAAGAGTAAAATTAAAAATCATTGGTAAGTTATAAATTATTCAAAAAATGAAAGTTCCGTTGTTGTTGAAGCTTTTATTTGTATAATTTAAGATATTTTGCTAGAATCAAAATTTCATATAGATGATAAAGATGAGCCAAAGGGACATTTAATTACGTAATTCTCTTAGACCAATGAAAATTTTTTAAGTTTCAGCAATATTTATATCTTTAAATAAAATAATTGCTGTATTTAACTTAATATATTTTCCCAAAATATCTCGTTCCAAAACTTTGTGATCTTATATTCTCAGATTAAATATAGTTGTGATCTAGGTATTTATACAGCTTTCACTTACCAAAGAGTCCTAACAACAGTAAGTTGCAATGGCAAAAAATATCATGCATGTCTATAATTCCGTATTCTATTCGTGGACATATTCTTGGCATCCACCAGAGACTTGCCAAGTGACTATTACAGGAAATGGCAAGAGCTAACATACCTTTCAATCTATAGCCTCAGGTTAAAGAGTTATGGAAGCTAATTATTTATTATTTATATCTACCTGATTTACAATCAAATCTCACACTGTTTTCAAAAGGCTTTGTTTTCGGTGTTTATTATTTAATTATTGTCCAGTTTTGGGGGAATCATAGGAACCTGAGCTTCATACAAATGGCATCTGTGTAAGGGCAGCAAGCTGAAGAGATTATTGATTTGTTTTCAAAATTCATTTCAATTCTTTTATTAATTTATTATGCTGTTATACAAAAAAATACTGAAATAAACTCGTATGTAATAATGCATTACTGCATTCATACAAATTTGAAACCTTACTTCTAACATGGCTTGTTTTCAAAAGACCCCATTAGTATTATTTACTTGTTTCTGTTTTGAGATCAAGTTATCTTGAATATTGTTTTTTTTTTTTTTTTGTGTGTGTTTCAGGAACTTACTATGTAAATTTCATCTTAACACCTCAGGTGTCTTGGATACACGCAGGTGCCATCATTGGATTCATTTTCGACTGGTTTTCACATATTGGTTTTTAATATCAAATTTTTTGTTCAAATCTTTGTATGTTTTTGTGAGAGGTTTTGCAACTTTATATATAAATTATTTGTATGCAAAAGTAACTTTTAAGCCAGTCATTGTTCCCCATATTTTGTTTGTACATTTTGTTTTACTTTTGTGTGCCTGTCCGTTTTTCTTCCACTTTATGTAGTGATCCTTTAACTTTTCATAAAAGTCTTCGTCCTTTTACTAGTTCAGCCCTTTGTGATTAATGCCAGGATAGAGTTGTGATTTTGTTTGTTCTTTAAATAAAAAAATAAAGGTTACATTCTCACAATTGTTTTGATTTCAATTTTTATGTACCCATTTGTTGAATTCTTTATCACACTAAATATTATTAGCAATTTCTGATTATGGGAAAATGTTATGATTTGCTTAAATTTCGGGGAGTTTGTTGGCTAAGATGCATTCTGCAACTTAAAATTAGAAAGAGCAACAAACAGTAGAGTTCTGTATTCAGAATTCCACTTGTATCCGGCTTAGGGTGAAGATCTCAAAATTAAGAAAACATTCATAGAATACACTTCGCTCAATAGCACATGACACACACTCTTTCTGCTTTTGAAAAACAAGGGTTCAATAGAAGTTTTGTCTAGTTCCAGTTCTGTCTGGCTTCTTTATAATTGTAATCGGTGTTTAACAAATAATTCTGCTGTATTGAATTTTCAACTGCAATTTGCAACTGCTTCTCCAATTAAGAGTTCATTGAGTAATGAGCCTAGAAAGAAAAACAGCTGTTTTGGATGTCAGTAAATGTAAATTACAAAACGCAATAGATCAAATCATAATTAACAAAACCATAACTAGATATGAATAATAACAAATGAAATTTCACGGAAAAGCAACCCTAGGATCACATAAGAAATTGGAACCTTATTACAAACTTACTCTTTACTTTAATTCTAAATTTCATAACTAGAGTCCAGAAGTTTGGCAAAATGCCTTTTTATCATTGTTACAATTTTATGACTATTAACTATAAGAATTACTTAATTGTATATCTGGAGTTGTTTAAGATTTTTTTCTGCCTATTTTTGGCATTTTGCCTTATTTGTGCCTTTTCTGCTGTTTTTGACATTATTTTTCCTTTTTTCCCTCCTTGCACCAATCTGTGATCAAGCTGGAAACATACCTGCAAGCCTGCACAACGTGAAGGCACGGTTGGGTATTGTCATTCTGTGAACACTGAGGCTCCAGTGTTAAGTTACAAATCTAAAAGGGAAAGGAAGATGTACCAGTGAAGATTTTTGATACTTTTCATTACTGCATATAGACTTCTTCACTTATGAGAAATCTCATCCTATGTTTGTGTATAGCCTCTGATCTCTTGTGAGGATAGAGCTCTCTGTACCTGATATACCTTTCACAATTCTTTCTTTTATTCTCTTCCCTTCCAGTGATTACACAAATGCGAAGAACAAAATCTTCAATTCTGTTTTCACTAACAATTTATAGATTCAAAAGGGAGTCCACAATAGCATTTGTTGCAAGTAAAATAAATTTTTAGTCATATCAGGTGGTCGGTCCTGTGCAATGAAGGTTACAAAAGGTAGTTTCCTTCCACGTGAGGGCTAATGTAAATTTTACAGTAAAAATAAAAGTTAATCGTTTTAATAATTCATTTTTTACACTAATTTCTTTTAAATTGAGATCTTTTAGCGTTTCCTGTGTTTTTATCCCACACTTTCACCAGAATGTTTTTCTGCATGCCTAGTAAAAATAAATTAGTTGCCTAACAACCAGGCGCAAATATCAATGTATATATGCGGTTGACTCGTTATATGTAATATTCCACTAAGTCAAAATGTTATCGTTTTCTACCCAACCACGTGGCGTGGAAGTTTAACATTCTTTCTGAGGCATATTACAGGATAGGCATTAGCATGTTCAAAAGTATCCCTTCTATGTAAGCTGCTACACACAGGTTTTGGGACAAAACCAATACGGCAGAATTTAAACAGCACAGTATTAGATTTGATAGAAATCGGTTTTATATCTAAAAAATTTTATATTTAAAACACAAGTTTGCCCTTAATAATGTAAGTGTGGAATTGTCTTATGGGAAGTAATACATAAATGTCTTTAATGGCATATTAGTTTTATATTTTATCTGTAAACAGTGACTAATATGTTCTGAAGAGATGTACAGATATGACTCGGGGATATATTAAAAATTATGTTTATTTCTACACATCTTACTAAAGATCATTCAAATATGGATTCTTGGATACTCACCAACACACTGAAATATTAAATCTTTTCGCTATATTTTCAATTTAACCGGGAAAAGAATATCGAAGGACGAACACGAAACATCACAATTCTGCCTACACCCGTGACGAAGTCGGGGATTCCATGCAGAAAAGCCAACCTTTGAAACGTACACCAATGCAAAACTGCGGCAAGCAAGGGCAACGATATGCGGCAGAACGATAACGCGAAATCTTTTTATCTTCTATAAAACGAAAACTAGTGTTGCTTAGAGTTCACGCTATTCAACAGGGGGGAAAATAGTTTAATAATTAGTAATGGAGGCAATATTAATCTGAATGATGTCAAAATTACAAGACTAAATGATGCAATAAATCACTTTCAGCAGTGGCGGCTCGTGTAAGATTCTGAAGAGGAAGAAAGAAGTCTTGCCAATACTATTACATTAAATGAAACAAATTATTTTATTATATATTAACTACTACAAATTATTTTATTACTATATTAACAAATTATAGCTCGACAACTTAGGGGAAAAAACACCATGGTGATGCGAACCTCAGGAGGCGTGGCGAAGTCTTCCCCCGCTTCTCCCGAGGGGAGCTCAGTTGTAGCCTGCAACGATAATTGATTCGCTACGACAGTCATCGCTTGTCGACCCTTGCTTGGATTTCCTGACCTTCGTTCACATATTTCTTCACAGTTGATTCCGAAAAGCCTGCCGCATCGCTGGTGATTTGTTCAACGTTCGCATTTGTTATATTGTATGCGATTTCGATATACGAAAGAACTGTGTCGCTCGATACATTTACTACCTCACGAGCCTGGCTTCTCAACGGTCGCCCTGATACATTCGCGAATATTGCAGTCGAAGCCATATCAACAGAAATGTAAAAACTCGAAAACGCCGCAAAGCTGCAAATCGGAGATCTACACCTACGCACAGCAGGAATCACTCACAAACTTACTCCCTTCCGAGAGAGTAAAATTACCAAACAAGAAACCTTTGTGGCAAATGTACGTAAGGAGAAAGCAAGAAATGGCATTTTTCACACCCAAAACCGTTTGAATGAGGAAGATAAACATAGATGCAACCTTTCAACACTGTAGGGTTCGGTAATTCGTCAAGGTCAGGCTATCTTGCCCACATGTTCTATCCTCACCCCTTACACACACACACATGCACTACACTACCACACATGCTGTGAGACCGGTCGGGAGCTTAGAGCATGTCCCGGCTAAGGCGGCGCCCTGCTGGTGGAAGATACCTTGTTGAGGAAAACTCCGCTATCTGACGGTAGGTCAGCGGTGGATCTCGCCATGGCGGGGAAATACCACGGCCACTCCCGGAGCAAACGCATGAACTACACTTACGGGACCAATGACCCAATGACATGAACTACACTTACGCGCCCGGAATCGCTAACAATCAATCAACAATTGGGGCTGCTCTCCTGGCGCTGGCGCTGGCGCGTTCGTTAAATAGCGGGCGATGCTGTAACCCCGGGCCGGCTCTCCTGCCTCAGCGTTGCTGAAGCGATTCCAGCAAATACTACAGAGATTGTCTCTAGAGTATTTGATTCCAGTGCTTGCGCCAAAAGGCAGCCCTGCTGCGCGGAGAATTTAAATATTCGCCGCACAGCAATACTGCGGAATCTCCCAAGACGTGCGAACGCAGTTCTCCAGTTGTCATTTGCGTGTGTGTGTGTGTGTATTCAATTACTAAGAAAGGCGGGCCTCAATATGCTAATTGCCTATGGGGCATAGGTCGAGAAATTCGGCGCTTGTAAGGGTCACTGGCTACAACAATATCAAGTTGCCTTTTCTCGGTTTCTAGGTAAGGCATTTTCATTGTCCAAAGTAGTCATTTTCCTTTCTGGCCTTACTTCGTAAGAAGAGAAAGTATTTTAATCTTGCGCCGAAAAAGAGAGATTTTTCGACAGAAAAACTCTTATTGTCGGCCCTGGGTAACAAAAAAAGGGGATAAATCTTGTTCCTAAATATATTAAAAATTACTTCCAATAACACGTTTTGTATTCAGAATCCGTGTTTATGGATCTTTGTTACCGAAAAATCGATTGACGGCAAAACGTGTCTGCCCGTCTGTTGGTGGTCAATGCTAGCCCCTAAACCGTTGAGACGTTTTTCTACAAAATTGATATTCCTTGATTGATTTGAAGGAACTCAGTGGCCTACGAATTTGAAAAGTATATTTTGATTTTGTGGAGTATTTAACATGAAGCATCAATTACATTTTCGACATTTTCTCAAAAACATCCAAAATTGTTTAGTTAAATTTTGTCCTTGGATAGCGTAAAGAACACTTACAAGAATGGAGTAGGTCTCATTTTCGTTTAAATAACTAATTTTTCGAAAATTGCAAAAGTCCAACATTTTTTCGGCGTCTTCCTATACTTATATTATACAAAATGGAGAATTTTCCCTAATGAAATCTGTTCTTCGAAGACATCTCGAAATAAGGTGATGTTCAATTTTTGGAAAATATGAGTAGGTTTTGCGAAATTTTGTGTGAAATAGGGCAATTCTTCAATTTGTTTAAACAATTATCTCTGCGAGGACCTTACTTCGGGGTCTTACCGTGAATAATCCGGGTTCGGCCAATTGCATGTTGTTCATTGTTCATTTTCACTAGTAATTCATGTACATATATAGTAAGTAGTGAGTGACTCGAAATTGTATCCTACGACGAAGTGGATGTCAGAGAATATCTCGTATGTTTCGTGAGTTAGACACAACTTAAGCAAGGGTCCTGCGAGACTGCTTGAGAAGATATATGATTGACCAATTTGGATGTTATCGTCTTTCGAGACAAATTGCTTCCCATTAGGCTCTCTCTTCGGCCCTGCCTTCATGTTGTTAAGATAATCTGTTCTTTGGAGGGGTCAGTCGGTAGCTGGTCGGTTGTCACCGGTGCCATCCACGTCACCCACGTATACTAACGTGGCGTTGTTGTGAAACCTTTTGGCAACATTTTATTTATTTGCAGATAATGCATAAATCTCCAGGTGCCATTCCACCTGTCATTTTCGCCGATATTTCCGAAAATTGTACTGGCTTAGGTGACTCATGTCATCCACTGGTCACTGCAGTGCCTCTGACCGGAAGGCCCTAGGGTTCTAGTCCCGATGGTTGCAGAATTTTTTTGACCCTAGCTTGGTAGGTAGGTCGAATTCAATCGCTGTCTGGAGGAGAAACCTAGCGGTCGGCTGCTATGATCGATAGTTTTCCGTGGTTTCTCCTTTAAACACCAGGCGAATGACGGAGATGTAAATACACTAGCAAATGGGCCACGGATCACGCGCAATCTTTTCTTAACCAATATCCATCCCCCCCCCACACACACACACCCCTTCATGCACAACAATGCCATACACAGAAAACTTAGAGCTTGTCCTGGCTGGGGCGGGGCATTGCTGATAGGAGGTACTGGTAGAGGAAAACCCCGCAAGCCGACGTGTAGATTAGCGCCGGATCTCGCCATCCAGCGGGGAAGATCTCCGCCATCTCCCGTGATAAAGCATACACCGTACTTATGGAACTAATGACCTTAGCAGTTGTCGCGCCCGGAAATACTAATAAATCGATCAATTCATCTTACACTTGTCATGGAGAATTGATTCAAGAAATTTCGAATGACACGCTCTTACACTGCTGTAATTAGTTCTTTCAACTGGCGTTAACTACATCACATGCATGTATTGAACCATACTTTCCATATGTATAATATAA